CTTCCTTTGCAAAACAGCTGATGCTTCCTCACTTAATGCCACAGTTTCTTGATCATTGAATCTCCTCTTGTTTGTACAAAGCTCTTTAAGGAACTTTGCATACTTGGGCACTTGTTTTATGGCATCTAAAAAGAGGTAAGTTCACTTGGACTTTTCGGAAAGTATCCAAGATTTCCTTATCAGTTTGCTCTTTCTTTGACTTCATAAACCTGCGAGGAAAGGAATAGGGACACATGAGTTAAATGAATTTTGAATTTCTTTTCTTACAGTATTAGAATTTTTTTTTTATTAATTCAACTGCTTTAGAAGACTTTTCAATTTCTGTTGAAGCTTCATCTTGCTCAAGATTTTTGGTTTGTAACTCCCCTTGTTGCATCCTTGGATGCTCAAAAACTTCTTTTCCACTCCTTAAAGTCATAGCATTTAACTGCTCCGCATTTGGATTGGTCACAGTTTGGCTTGGTAACCTTCCTGGTTGGTGTTGTTGCCCCATCAAACTTGCTAACTGACTCATTTGGCGCTCAAGGTTTTCAATTGCTTTGTCTGTTTTCTGTTGATTGAGATTGAGTAGAGTTAGCTAAAGAAGCAATTAAATCCTCAAGAGACTTACTTGGAGCTTGTTGTTGTTGAGGTTGAAATGGTGCCTGTGGTCTTGCTTGAAAGAAGCCAGGTGGACGGTTATAATTGTTAGGAAACAGATTGTCCATTGTCTTGATTGTTCCATTTTAAGTGTGGATGATCGCGCCATCCTGCATTATAGTTGTTGGAATATGGATCATTACTTTTGCCTTTGTTGCCCTTGAAATCCTCCTAATGCATTAGCTTGCTCAAGACCACCTTGATCCATCAACGAAGGCACATGTCCGTGACATGTCCCATCATTGAACATACACCACACACTTGTTTTGGAGCCACAATAACCTGTTGCACAAGATTAGTCAAGTTAGCTAATTGTAATTCAATACTAGAATTAGCACTTACTACCTTAACGTTAACTTTCTTAAAAGGTAGCTCATCTCTCCCTCCAAATTGTCGTGTGTTGCCAGCAATGGTCTTTAATAATGCCTTAGCATTTATGGTGTCTTGTCCATGAATGCTCCTCCACTGGCTGCATCAAGCATTATACGATCAGTACCACATAATCCTTCATAAAAATACTGTTTAAAAGATGCTCTGAATTTGATGATTAGGACAAGATGCAACCAAATGTGTGAATCGCTCATAGTAATCTCCAAAGGGCTCTCCATGTTGTTGTCGGATTGCACATATGTCTTTCCTTATGCTTGCAGCTTTGGTGGCTGGAAAAATATTGCTCCAAGAATGCTTGCTTCACCTGGTTCCAGGTGTTCATTGATCCCGGAGGTAAATTGTAAAGCCACTCCTTTGCCTTAGCTTCTAATGTAAATGGGAATGCTCTCAACTTGACTTGCTCCTCATTCACATTGCTGGTCTCATCCTGAGCAACTACATGAACTCCATAAGATGCTTGTTGGCATCCTCTGTTGAGAACCCATGGAACTTAGCAAATAGTGAATCATGCCGGACTTGAGCTCACATCCTCCTTCCGTCATTTGGATATGTGATGCACAATGGTTGTTGATCCGTGTTTGGCGTTGCAACTCCCTCAGAGTACGGTTGTCAGCCATGTCTCCTTGTGGTTTTTCCTCCTTTATTTGAACTAAAATGTGGGAGACGATGATGATGGTACGGACACCAATGCTTGATTCTGTTGATTTCTCCTCGAACCTTTCGAAAGTATTTGTTCAGGCTCAGGATTGTAGGGAGCTATATCAAATGCTTTCGGACCTTCGAGTTTTGCATATACTACAAAAAATACCTGAAATAAACCCAAAACCAAAAACACTAAATAGACAAAATAGAAAATAATACAAATAAATAAAAAAATAAAAATAAAATATAAGCAATCAGAAATAACAATCCCCGGCGACACGGCGCCAAAAATTTGATAGTAATTTATAACGCACCACAAAGTAGCACACAATAATCCTATTAATTTTCCTTATTAACACTAAGATTTGTCAATTGTAGCATATGAAAATAAGGGTCTTTCCCGCAGAAGATTGTTTTATCCAAATACTTAAAAAAATGTCACAAAAACAGGGTGGCTGTCTCCACTGACCAGCCAGAACAATAATTATTAAACTAAACTTACACTTATCCAAATGCAACGAAATTTTATACTCATAAACTAGACACACAGTACGACAGTCTCACAAATTTTTGGGATGTTGGAGTTGATTTGCTATTTAAATTAATCGTACAAAAACAGTACGAAAACAGATTTTAATAATACCAATAGATTTTTATTCACAAGTTAAGAAACGAGTTAGGGACATGCTATCCACCACAAATAATCATGTAAGTATGTTATGTTTCATTCAAATCCCTTTTATTTCCGGATGAAGAGCTCAAGTTGGCTCACTGTTAGAAACTCAACTATTACTCTTTCTTACGTAGTATGTTAGAATGGCGTTTTCAACTTAACTTGAGTCCCTAGCATGCAATCTAGAATGGTGTTCATAGATTTAACAGTAGAATCATTAAGAATAAAAAGAGTTTGAGTCATCACAGGCATCGTAAGTACTGGCGTTGTTATTACTTATCCTAGAAATCGGTTCACATGTTAACCACATTAACAGTGCTACTCTAGAACATATGTAGGTCCTCATTCAACAAGGGCAGGCAGACATATATTCATAGCATTAAAATCCTAAATATGCTCACTATGTATGCATCCATAGAAAAACATAAGAATTTATCAATGACATAAGTAGTGAAACAATTTTCATTCCTTTCATTAAAAGTCATTCAAACAAAATATCACAACATACTACAATCATATTCGGGCTTCAAAACAGCCCTATCTACTAAAAATTAGTTACACATAATTATCAAATTAAACCAAAAGTAAAACATGAGTTTGAGAAGACAAACCAAGAAAAATAGAGTGGAGTTTTGCTCTCTGCCGTGCTTCTTTCTCTGTGCGCCCTGCCTCGCACCTCTGCTTCTGTGCTCTATCACTTCTCTTCTGCCCGTCAGTCTCTCCCTTTGCTTCTTTTATTTTTTTTTATCTCTAACAGTTTTTTTTTTTCTTTCGTTTCTGTTCTCTCCGTCTTCTCTCTTGTCCGAGTCTTTTTATTCATGCGAGCTTGCCTTGCTGCAAGAGGAGCTTTCCTTTTCTTATTTTCTTCCACGCTGCCAAGCAGCTGTTATTCCGCACCTTTCACGTTCCCTGCACCTTGCTTCTGCTGCTTCTGCCCCCGTCCTCTTCCTTTTCTGCGCCTCACGTCAGTTCTCTTCTCTCCCTCACGCTGCCAAGGCAGCTTTTCTCTTTTTTTTTTATATCTTTCTCCTGCAGTCCGAGTGCTCCCCTATTTCTTTTGCTTTTATGCTTCTTCTTCCATCCCATTATTCTTCTTTTCCTTTTCTTATTCCTTCCACTCTTCCTTTTATTCTTTCTTTTGTTTGTTTTTGTATTCCTTCTTTTCTTTTTGCTGAGCCTCACATGCAAGAGAATAACAAAAGTTCTTTTTCTGCTGCCCAAGGCACTGCTCTTTTTGCTTTCAATGCACGTTTTCTGCCTTTTGCTTTCATCGAAAACCTGCAAATGCAACCTCATAAAATAAACTGGCAGAAGGAATAGAAATCATGGCCAACTTATAAAAAAAATGTACACATTAATACTAGAAAATTAATGAAATACAAGACCCTTAACAAACTCAAAGAAATTAATGAAATACAAGACCCTTAACACAATGTAAGGTAAAATGCCACAATTTTAACACAAAAACATCACAAAGACTTTAGAAATGGATGATATAAATGCATGAAATATATGAGTGATCAGAATAACGAGCTCATATCCGAACAGTTTCTATAGGTTTTCTGAACGGGAATCTTAGATTCTCAACATGGATTCTTACCTAACAAACAGCAGCAACAACGGTATTCCTTTGTATAACAAACAGCGAAAACTTGAACATACAAAATTGACACATCCATTTTCAATCCTGAATTAGAGACTTGGTTCTGTTTTAGTCAGTCAAAGAGATGAATGATACTAAACTGCGACCTGACATACAAGTCACAAACAACAATAGACCTTCTCATCATCTCATGCTTACAGGACGATATCTCGACGGAAATTTTACATATAAGTAGAGTGCAGACATTAGAATCAGTTTATGAAAGAGGTGCCATCTTTTCAGATAACTAGCCAGGCGAAGACTTTCTTTAGTGCCTCGGCCAATAGGCCTACTGAAACATGATGATGAATTTTGCAGTCAAACGAACTTGTCTTCAAAATTTCTAACATTTTAGTGCTTAATCGGAACAAAAGTGAACTTTGGTAATCGGAACAGGAAGAAACATAAAAGTCTAAACTGAGCAGGAAAAATTGGTCATTTATGTAGAACCTCAAACAAACCGGTACTCTGTCACATCCAGCTAAAGCAGACAGCATAAAGAAGGACAAAAATTTGCTTCTTTCTGACCACGGCAACTTAAACATGTTCAAATCATTTTCCATGCATAAGAGAAAGAGTATGGTGTATTGATCTAACAGTCTGAAGTTTAAAATTGAAATTTACACAACAAAGATACGAATAAAAGCTACGTCGCTTGTGAGAGTAATTACCAATTACTAATTGTACTCTATTCGATTGAAAAACTTATAAGAATATGAGCAGATAACGAGCTTTCCGTAACCCAAAACGAAAATTGGATCACAAATCTTATTTGCCTATTACTTGGTACGACAACTTGACTTTTGCAGCACAACACCGTAACACAAGAAACATAACAGATGCTATTGGATATATACTGTTGAAATTTCAAAAGATATTATCTTACTTGTAGATGGTTTTAGTCTACCAAATTTCATTTCAACCGTTTGATTGTATCCAACGAGAAAATCCCTGTATCAGAAAACTGATCCGGATTCTAATTCATCCTTATGTTTTGTTAAACAACTAGAGTACCTTCATCATATCTAAGACAATATCTTTGGAGGGTGGATCAATATGCGGGCCGGGTAAACGCTTATTGAGTTCACTAGAACAGGAAGATTAAACAACAATCAGTTAAAATTAGCAGCATGATTTGTCAATCAGTTAAAAAAATAGGGAATACGTTTAGCACGAAATGCTCCTCACTTGAACACAAGTAGTACACCGATGTACAGATCGTCAAAATTCAAGTTAACGCTTCCTGTCTCACTTTTAAAATAAAGATCAAACACCTCATCTGTAATCCTGCGTATTTGCTTTCGCCTCCATTGCTTATCTGCAATCCAGAAAATTATCAGATACCTTATAAACGTGTATGTAATTAACGGTTGCTTCCTGTCCAGTAATGTAA